TTTTATTTCTTCTCTGACCCAGTTATTCTTCAGTAGCGTGTTGTTTAATCGCCATGTATTTGTGGTTCTTCCTGATTTCTTCTTGCAGTTGATCTCTAGTTTCAAAGTATTATAATCAAAGAATATGGTTGGTATGATTTCAACCCTCTTATATTTGTTGAGGCTATCTCTGTGTCCCAGTATGTGGTCGATTCTTGAGAATGTTCTATGTGCACTAGAGAAGAATGTATAAGCAGCTGTTTTGGGATAGAAGGCTCTGTATAGGTAAATTATGTCCAGTTGTTCTGATGTGTCATTTAAGGATGTTATTTCCTTATTGATTTTCTGTTTGGATGATCTATCCATATCCGACAGTGGAGTATATAGGTCCCCTACTATGATAGTGTTTTGGTCTGTTTCTCTCTTTAGTTCTGTTAGTAACTGCTTTAATTATTTCAGGGCTCCCTGATTGGGAGCACAGATATTAATAAGTGTCATGTCTTCTTGGTGCATGATTCCCTTTATCATTATGAAGTGTCTCTCAATATCTTTCTTCACCATTTTATTCTGGTCTATTTCGTCTGATATTAGTACTGCTACTCACGCTTTTCTCTGAATGCCATTTGATTGAAATATCATTTTCCACCCTTTCACTCTATATTTGTCTTTGGAGCTGAGATGTGTCTCCTGGAGGCAGCATATGGTTGGGTTTTGTTTTTTGATCCATTCTGCAACTCTGTGCCTTTTTATTGGTGAGTTCAGACCATTTACATTTATGATGATTATTGAAATATGAGATTCTTATAGACATTTTATCTTTTGCTTTCTGGTAGCCTTGGTGTTTTCATTACTTCCTTGTACTCGTGTTTCTCTTTTCTTTATTTTGGTTGGCTTTTGTGGGTTTTGCCTCTAGTTCTTCTTGTTTTATGTTACGTACTTCAGATCTGAATCTTTGGCATGTGGTTACCATTATGAATATGAAAAGGATGGTGTTTATATATATATATACAGTCATCCATTTTCTTCTGTGTGTGCCTTATCTCCATTCCCCTTTGCAAATTTGGATCTTTGAAGCCTCCCCTTTTCAGTCATTGTTTTCTCAATTTGTCCCTATGTATGCAGAACGTTTATTATTATCTTACTTTAGCAATTCTCTTCTTATTATTTAAGCTTATAATGCTCTACTCTTAGTGAGGATTGCACTCCTCTGCTTCTATTTGCCCAATGGTCACTTTACTCCTAACTTCTATTTTTTAGTTGTTGTTATTTTGTTTTAGGTGAGCTGACCCCTTTCAGTATTTCCTGTATTGCAGGCCTCATAGTGTAGAATTCCCTCAATTTTTGTATGTCTGGAAAGATCTTAATTTCTCCTTCTTATCTAAAGGAGAGCTTAGCTGGATACATTATTCTAGGCTGGTAGTTCCTTTCACTTAATAGTTTAAATATTTGATTCTATTCCTTTCTGTCTTGTAAGGTTTGCGCTGAGGAGTCCGATGACTTTGGGAGCATAGATATTAATAAGATATTATTATTAAGATATTAATAAGATATTATGTTTTTCTTTATAAGTTACCGTTTTCTTCTCCCTGGCTGCCCTTAAAATTCTATCTTTGATTTTTGACAACTTTAATACAATGTGTCTGGTGAAGGCATTTTTTTGTTGAGATAATTGGGTGTTCTGTTGACTTCTTGAATGCCAAGCTCCAGCTTATTCCTTAGATTTGGGAAATTCTCATCAACTATTTGTCTGAAAATGCTTTCTAACCCTCTTCCTTTTCCTCCCCTTTGATGATGTCCATTATTCTTATGTTTTCTTTCCTGATGGTATTAGCTTATTCTTGTATTTCTCTTTCATTATTTTTTATTTTTCAATTTCTCTCTTCTGATTTATTTATAATTTTCTGTCTTCGATATCACTGATCCTTTCCTCCATTTGGTTGACTCTGTTTCCCATGCTTGCTATTTCATTTTTCAACTCTTGCCATGTGTTTTTAATCTCCAGAAGTTCTATTCTGTTATTTTTGAAGGTTTCAGTCTTCTTGCTGAAGAACTCATTGTGCTGATCTAGTTGTTTTTTCAATTCTTGAAATTGTTGATATGAATTGTTTCGGATCTCACTGAGTTTTTTCAGAATTACCATCCTGAATTCTCTGTCATTTATGTTGCATATTTCTCTGTCTTTCAGCTTATTTTCTGGAGATTTTTCTTTTTATGAAATGCCATGTCATCTTGTTTGTTCGTGGTATTTAATGGACTGTTTCTTCACCTGTGCATTAATGGATGTGTATTCTGCTTTATTTTTCAGAAAGAAGATTTATTATATAAAGGTCTGATTGGTCTCAGAGGGTTGGGGTAAGGGGCCCTCTGTGTTGGGAATTGGGGGCTGTGGCTCAGCCTCAGTTTTGCAACAGCAGGGCTGGTAAAAATCAACTGTTGTTTCTCTGTGGCCCCGTCCCACTTCTCTGCTTTCTGCCCTGATGACTGAGCCCTGGTGTCAGCTACGTAGAACTCCTGGCACTTCCAGGCAGGGCTGTTCAGGGAAGTCGCCACACTTTCTCCCATCCCCCTCCTCCTGCAGGGAGTTCCAGAGGCTGCGAGAAGCAGCTTCTTTATTTATCCCAGTCCACCACCCGACACCCAGGGTTCTGACCTATGGTAGCTCTTATGCGCAGATCCCATGCTCAGATGTGCTGGTGTGCAGTTTGGGTGTTTTTTGTTCAGTTTTAGATGTTCAGCTTATTGTTGTTTCAAGGGGAGAGATCTGAAGACATCTCTCACTCTATGTTTCCCAGAGTCCTACAACACCTATTTTAATATTTAAATTTCTCTTTAGTAAGCTTCTAGTTTACAATATTAAAGTAAACTAATCAGTAATTTGGCAAACTGACTAAAGTATCTTTTAAAAGATTTGGATTAAAAATAAATTTTTGTTTAATTTATACACTCTTTTCTTTATATAATATAGCTTTTCTAATTTCAAAATGAAAAAAGCACTGATCTAAATTGGTGAAGATTAGGTAAATCAGTCCCCTCATATAGATTTTGTGCTTGGTTTCCCTGAAGTTCAGTTTTTTTCTATTTTCTACATATTTACTAAAGTCATGATTCCAAAAGTTGTAATGATTCCAAACCAAAAAGAAGAAACAGTATGGGAAATGCCAGTGGGATCAGGTCGCCTAAAGTCCTAAATGTGCTATAATCTACAAGAATGTTCTGATTTTAAAACAGTGACATTACCTTTATATAGATATGCCTGGATTTTGGGAAAAGATTTATTTGAAAAATACAAAAGATTTTTTTGAAAACTACAAAAAAAAATCTCCCTACCACCAGAGACAAAGACAATCAGATTTCCTTAGGTGATACAATGCCAGAGGGTTTTATACCTCACAAGGCAGATGCCGCCTCATATTCTATAGAAGATGGGTCTGCTTTTACATAATCTAAACTGCAGTTTCAGCATGTGAATGTTATGGCATGCCATAAAAATATGCATACAAAAGTCACAGTACATAGTTCTTCGACAAGAATGCAATCCCACGCTGAAGTGACAGAAGCAACCTTCTTGGGGTCAAGGTAATGGGATGGCAAGTCTGTTGCCTTTGGGGCAGAGATCCCAAAATTAAAATCCTAGCTGTCATTTTTTTGGCTACATGACCTTGGACTAGTTGTTAACCTCAGAATCTCATTTTCATCATATGCAAAATGAGGACAATAATGGCAACCTCGTACAGCTATTGTTAGAATTAAGTGAAATAACATACGCCAAGGTGCTGGCACAAGGAAGAGACTCATCAGCTATTTCCTTTGTTCCTTATATCAAACATTCCAGGCTGAGAGAAGGTACATGTATTCACCTATTATGTCCTCCCTTTATCCCGAACCATTTCAATTCAAATGGAAAGAAATGATGAGGAAAGCAAGAGGGATTTTTCAGTATGCTCTAGTCTTTGGCATATAATGCTGACACCTGCACACCTCATGGACTTAACCATGCATCTCTTCTGATTCCTTTTCATACTACTGAATTTATTATTTCTTTAGATTTCAAGTCCTTGGCATTTCTCTTCACCGGTGCCTATGCTAACAGCAAATTCCAACAGAGGGCGAGACGGTTAAGTGACATTGCCTGTGCATCATCATGCCATCACCCCTCTACTCTGACCTTTCTCCAGCTGTGCTTAAAAAGTCTAGAGCTTCCTAACACATCTGCCTGGATGTGTTTTCTCTCCAACCCTTCTGCCTTCACAGATGCTCAGTGGGTGAGCCTCAGTTCCAAAGGCAAATCTACTAGCTCAGAGCGATTTTCATGTTCAAACACAGCTTTGTATTTGGCAAGATGTACTCCTAACTCACAGGCTGGCCATGGACTGACAAAGCCCAGGCTTCACAGATGCCTTTCATGACATGATGGGGTAGCTTATGCATTTTTAATGCTCAAGGAAATGAAAGCCAATTAGCAGTACCAATGAAGAGAATTAGAACACTACTTTGTGGAATATTAACATCCTCTCTTTGACGATGAAGCCCGCATGTTTTATTACTTCAGTAAGGAAGTCCCATCCTGGACATTTTATAGTCTGTCTGTGAAAGAGGGCATGGTTCCTCCATGGATGCTAAGGTCATTGATCCTGAGGTCTTCCGACTGGTCCTCTCTGCTCACTCATTTGCTTTCAATTTAGGTAACTCATGAGTTGCCTTTAAAAAGTTTTCCCCTTCCACATGTACCAGACACCAATTATAATAATGTATGTAGGATATTCCTTCCTCCTAGGATTGCTTTAAAATTCACGATTTTACGTTTCAGCTTCCTTCCCTTGAATAAAGATGGAGGAATACTCAAGGTTACCAGGAACCTTATTCATCTGGGTAGTAATTGAACAAATGACCCTCTTTTCCCCCATTTGATTTTGTTTTTCAGGGAAATTATTTTAAATGTACTGTCTATTGCATGCGTCTCCCCTCCTCACCCCTTCACCCCAACCCCAACATATCACACTGTAGAGAGAAGCTTTTCTTACTTGGATTACTGTGTCCAGAGGAAACGAGCTGAGAGTCCTAAAAGAACAGAAATATCAATTAATTTTCTTACTTGACTTTTAATCTAAGTTGAATATGAGACATATTACCATTAATTTGGAACCTTATTTTTGATCATAAACTCTACCAGCTACTTCAGTGAGAAACATTTGCATGAGTGTGCCCATCAAACAGGTCTGGGAGTACAGTTCACTGTGTAGTCTCTTTTGAATTATGGACTTTTTGTTTTGTTTATTGACATGAAGTTCACATGACATCAAATTAGCCACTTTAAAGTGAACAATTCGGTGGCATTTAGTACATCTACAATGTTGTACAATTACCACCTCTATTTAGTTGCAAAATATTTCCATCATTCCCGAGTGGAATTCCTTGCCCAGTAAGCAGTATCTTCCCATACCCCCCACCCCCATTTCCTGACACTTACTAATCTGCATGCTGTCTCTATGGATAGATTCTGGGTAGCTCACAGCAGTAGAGTTACATAACAAGTGGCTTTTTGTGTCTGGCTTCTTTACTTAGCATGTTTGGGAGGTTTGTCATGTCATAGCATGTATCAGTACTTCAGTCCTTTAGATGGCTGAATAATACTCTATATACACAAGAGACGTTCATCCATTCATCTGTTAGTGAATATTTGGGCTGTTTCCACCTTTTTCCTATGGTGAATAGTGCTGCCATTGACATACATGCATGTGGACTTGTTTGTGGGTCCCTGTTTTCAGTCCTTTTAGGTATATATCTAGGAGTGGAACTGTGAGGTCATGTAGTAATTTTATGTTAAACTTTTTGAGGAACTGCCAAACTCTTTTCCACAGTGGCTGAATCATTTTTCATCCCTACTAGCATATGAGGGCTCTGATTTCTCCACATCCGCACCAACACTTGTTATATTCTTTTAATAAAAAAATATATATATATTATAGCCATCCTAGTGGTTGTGGTTTCTCATTGTGGTTTTGATTTGTATTCCCCTAATGACTAATGATGTTGAGCATGTTTTCTCTTTTCAACTATGACACTTTAAAAAATGCAACAAAGCATTTTTTATTGAGGTATAAGTGAGAAGCTGTACAGATTTAAAGCATAACATTTGATGATAAGTATCATTAAAAGATGCTACTATTTATTGTCTTGACTCAAGGATGGCTCCATCTTATTAAGTAGCACTTACTATTTAAACAAAGAAAAGTAATATCTATTCATTAAAGAAATTTCAGAGAAACAGGAAAGTACAAAAAAGTTGTCTGTATTCCCATTTCTAAGGTTAATCTGCTGCTTTTGGTTTGCTAGTGTCCATGAAATGTATGTGTCATCCAGACAGTCATGTGCATAAAGGGGAGAACCACTCCTGGATATTTAGAAGAATCTTTACAGATAGGAATTTATTCCTCTCCATCTTTAAATCCTGAAATCTCCAAACCTCAACTCTTGTTTGGTAAATGGGAATCCTATAACTTTATCTGAGGTATATTCATCTGGGAAGTCAAGTTTGCATATATCACCTTGCTTTCAGAAATAACCAAGCTCACTGGTATCTGAGAAAGCCCGTCGATGAGGCACCATACTAAAGATATTTCACCAAATGCAACACGCCATCAAAATCATATGAAGCTGCATTAGTTCATGTACTACTAGGAAAGACAACTACTGCCAATTGATTGTAAGATGTTACCAACTGTAAAACAAATCCTGATTTTAGGGAACTTAAAATGTGAAAAAAAATATGCACCTTAAGTCAATAAAATACAGTAGTTCTTAGGCCATATTGCTGATAGAGGACAGTACTTATACTGTGAGGGTATTACTTAAAAATGGCTTTTTGGTACCATCTGAGGATCTCTCCATGTTTGTCTACCAATCTATCATTAGAACTATAAAAGGCAAGAAATGGAAATATATCTTATTTCCAGACCCCCATATACAGCTAATTACTATAGAAGAAAGAACCACCTGATTTGGTTTGGTTTCTCTTTAACTCCACAATCACTTTCTTCTGAATCTTATTCTAATAATGTAATTTACAGTGAATTTCAATGTTTATTTTGAGTCAGTGATAAACATGGAGTTTTAGCCCACTCTTTGTGACAGGTTTTGAGCATGCTAGTAACCCAAGGAGAGGTACTTCAAAGCACTTTTCTTCATATCTGCTGCCTTTCATTCTCCTTCCAGGCACAAAGAGAAAGGCAAAAGGATTCTTTTCTGTAACAATGCTGTAATTCTTCTGTATAATGCTTTAAAAATCAATCAGCAAGAATAGTTTCAGACCAGGTCTGATCCCACCAGATTCAGAATCCATTGCCATATGAAATGGTTGTGAAATGCCATCAGGTTTCCCCATATGGCTTCTCAGGATAGAAAAACTTTTGCAATTTTGAGTTCTTGATTTGCATTTCAAAACTTATGAGACTGCTATAGAAATGAAAGGAAAAGGGCAAAGCAAATTCTTTTTCTTTCTTGGTTGAAACACCTGATAATGGCAGCCAATTTAAAGGAGTCACATATTCTTTTCTTTACCAAATTCAATTACTTTTGAGATTTGAAGAATGAGGCAGACATGTCTGGTAGTATTTGTCTAGGGAACAGAGACTCCAAATTAAGTCTTCAGAGAATAGAAAAAATATCCAAGTTCAGTAATAATTGACTTTACTATATATTATGTCCTTCAATACCCAGACAAATTCTGGAAATTCTCAGAAGTATTTAACTAATTAATTTAGTGGTACTGGCAACCTAGAATGCACAGCTAAATCGTCTTTCTCTATGAGATCAAATTGCCCCTTTAATCTTAATAAGGACTTAACTTTCATTATTTATTAGTCATTTAGGAGATTTTTCCCCTCTAATTCCATAAACAATTCTAGCCCCTACACATTAACAGTAACAATTCTAGCCCCTACACATTAACAATAGAGTGATAATCTCAAATGTTAACAATCCAGTTAAGGAACTGTGAGCCTCTAGCTGTCAGAATACTAATTAGCTGAGATACAGGTTGAAAGAGGTGTTCTATGTGTCAAAATTAATAAGTCTTTGTAGTAGGCAAGAATAAACGGCCCCCCCACCCCCGCCCCTGCAAAGATGTCCCTATCCTCATTCCTGGACCCTGTGAATGCATTACCTCTCAAGGCAAAAGGGACTTTGCAGATGTGATTAAGTTGACACTTTTGAGATGGGAGATTATCCTGGATTATCCAGGGTAGGCCCAATGTAATCACAAAGGTCATAAGGAAAAGGAGGCAGGAGAGTCAGAGAAGATGCGACAAGGAAGTCAGAAGTCAGAGTGATGAGGGCCATGAGCTAAGTAACAGTGGTGGCCTCCAGAAGCTGAGGAAGTAAGAAAAGGAGTTCTCCCCTAGACTGCCCAGAAGAAACACAGCCCTGTCAAAACCTTGATTTCAGCCCAGTGAGACTGATGTCAAACCTCTGACTTCTAGAGTTGTAAAATAATAAAACTGTGTAGCCTTAACTCATTAAATTTATGGTAATCTTATTAGAGCAAGAATAAGACGTGAATGAAGCTTTATTTCATTTGCACATGATATATTACTTATCGTGAGCTTTTTGAAAGAAAGAATGAGTAATTTTACAAAATGTAGGAACACTGCATTATTAAAATCATGCAATGTACCTACATTTTGTAAAATTACTCATTCTTTCTTTCTTGGGCAAGGCAAAAAGATATAGAGGTTAAATAGCTCCAGACGAATCATATAATAGTCCTAAAGTAGACATTTTTTAAAAAATTTAAATTTGAAATTCTGTGCTCTATATGATAATAATAATGTAACATTTTAGGTGGAAAATAAAATACTTGTAACTTTGTTTCTGCCTTGAAAAATGAATTTTTGTACTAATTATTTGAGATCTCAATCTCACCTCAGGAGTTAAGTTATTGCTTAAACTTAACTATTTATACTCAACAAAACAAATTTGTATAATCCTTTTGGAAAAGTCACAATCAAATATGTCTTGGGATATACACTCAATTATATTAGAAAATGTACTTATACCATGGATATATTTATACAACAAAATGCTTATCCTATTGTATTTTGGGTCAAGCCATTATTTTGGCAAGATTGCGTATAAAAATTGTAAGGATTATTGCACTGTTTTTTAAGTGTGGGATGCCAATGGAAAGTTTTGGGTACACAAGTGACAAGAGATTATTTATGTTCTAAAACTATGAAAAGCGACTATGTGGAGAACCGATTGTGCGTTAGGGGCTAGGGTGAATGGTTGGAGAACTGTTCCAGCCCACCCTCCAGGTGATGATAGCTGCAATAGAGTGGTAGGAGGAGGAAGTGCAGGCATAGAGAGCCAGCTAGAAAGCTACTGCAATAATTAATGCAAGCGGTGCTGGTGGTTTAGACCAAGGTGCTAGCTGTAATGGTAGGGGAGGCATTTAGACTCAGGATATATTTTCAAAGTTGGGTAGACATGATTTTATGATGGGTTGGATGTGTGGTATAAAGAAAAGGAAGAGTCAAAGATGGTGTACTAGGGTGAATAGTGTCCCCCAAAAGCTCACATCTACTCAGAATCTGTGAATTTGACCTTATATGGATACAGGGTCTTTGCAGGTCATACTAGATTAGGGTGGGCCCTAAATCCAGCAACTGCTGTCCATATAAGAGAAGGGAGATTTGGACACAGACACATACAGAGGAAAGACAGCTGTGTGACTGTGCAGGCAGAAACTGGAGTGATGTAGCTACAAGCCAAGGAATGTGACAAATGGACAACAGTCAGTAGAAGCTGGGAGAGGCAAAGAAGGATTCTTCCTCTCAAGCTTTCAGAGGGGGCATGATCCTGCTGACACCTCGATCTCAGACTTCTAGCCTCTAGAACTGTAAGAAAATAAATTTCTTTTATTTTAAGCTACTTGGTTTATGTGCTCTGTTACAAGTGCCCTAGAAAACGAATCCAGATGGCTCCAAGGCTGGCAGCCTGAGCTGACTGCAAAAGTGGAGAAGCCACATACTGAGAAACATGGGGACAGAAGGTTCGTAGAGAAATTAAAGCTGAACTTTTGATGTTTAGTCTCTCCCACCACACTCTCTCAGTTTGAGTTTATCTACCATATCTCAAATTATCATTGTTACGACTATTTTTTAGCATTGTGCCCTGACAATTAGTTCTTTAGTTCATCATTGTTTCTTGTGTCTCAGGTCTTCCTCTTTTTAAAAGATACTTATTGTTTTGCTAGAGTTTGTTTCCTCACAAGCCGGAGATGCTTGTGAGATATCTGAGTGGAGATGTTGAACAGGTATATAGATATACAAGTATGGAGCTTGGGGGATGCGGAAGCTAGCTAGAAATACTAGTTCAGAAATCATCATCTTGGCATACAGAGTATTTAAAGCAACAGGACTGGATGAGATCACTGAAGGAGAGAAAAAACATGGAGACAAGAAGAAAGAGGATTAAAGACAAGTGCAGAAAATGCCTATCAGAAACTTTAGATCAAGAATGGACTTAACGCCTGCTAGAAAACAAACTGGAAAACATTCTGGAAAATATTCTGGAAAACAGATCAATGACTGCCAGAGGCTGGGGTAAGGGAGGGAGTGCCAAGGGGGAGATCTGGGTAGTGGTAGAGTCCTTCTGGGTCTTGACTGTGGTGGCCTCAGGAGCATATGTGTTTGTTGAAACTTGCAGGATACTAAAAAGGGTGATTTTTACTATTTATAAATTATACCTTAATTTTAAAAAATGAAACTCAAACCTTTAAAAAGTTCAGAAAGCCAGGAATAGAAGGAAGCTGCCTCTGCTGGACATGGAGGCAGCAATTCTTATTCTCAGTGCTAACACCTTGGAATCATCCTTTTTAATGTCACAAATAAGGCAAAGGGGCAGAGGTTCTAGGTAACACAGTACAAAGGACAAAATAGAACAAACCTGTTATCTGCAAGATTCTTTATGACTTCTCAATTCACCCAGAGCAAAGCAGCAGAGTAAAGCCCAGGTCTTTCAGTGGCCCTGCAGTACCTGCATACAGCTCTGTATTTATTTCTCTTGTGTCATTTGCTGTGCTCCCTTCGCCATCCCATCCCATCCACCCCTTCACCCGCCTTGCTGCTCCTCCAGCATCCTGGCGTGCTCTTGCGTCAGGGAGCTTTCACTTTCTCCTCCATCTCCCTGGACCTCTCCTCCTCCAGTTGTCTACATGACTGGCCTCCCTCAGGGAGTTGTTCAAATGCCATCTCCTCAAGCAAAATCTTTCTTTTCTATTGAAAATTCATATATCCCCATTCGCCACCGGCATTCACCATCTTCTTTTCCTGATTTATTGGTTAATGTACATCATCAACCAATATGTTATATACTTCAGTGCTATTCATTCTGTTTCCCCCTACTTGAAAGATATCAATTCACCAAAAAACACCTACCAGAACCAAAAGGAGTTCAGTAAGTAGGTATATGACATCCTGTAACTTTCCTTCATACCATCAAGACTAATTAGAAAACAGAAAAACTAAAGCTCGTTTCAACAGAAAAGTAAGCAAGTTGAATATCTGAGAATAAACCAGAGAACTAATGTGAAAGACCTATACGAACAAAAAAAAAAAATGTTTACTAAAGGACGTGTAAGAAGACATGAAAGAAGTGAGGAGATATTCCAAACTCTTGGAAAGGAAGATGATGTTGTCCAATAGACAGCCTATAAGTCAGAAATCAATTAAATTCCAAACAAAATTTCAAGAGAATTTTTATATGGAATGTCAGGTCATCAAGATGATTCTTAAATTGATCCAGAAGAGAAAACTGGGCAATATGCAGGAAATATCTGGAAAATAAAGAAGGGGACTGGCCTGACCATATTCATAAATGGGCCAAAAATTATCAATAATTTTAACTAGGAGTTGGCCAACTACAGTCCATAGGCCAAACACAGCCTACCCTCTGTTTTGTTTTAAATACTTTTGTGGCTTTTAGCATATTTAGAGTTTATCACCATAATGAACATCAGAACATTTTCATCACCTCAAAAAGAAATCCTTTACCTTTAGCACTCAACCCCACCTCCCCAACCCCGAGCTGTAAGCAACCACTAATCTGTTCTCTGTCTCTCTATATTTGCCTGTTCTGGACATTTCAAACATAAAATCATATTATATGTGGTTATCTGTGACTAGATTATTTCACTTTCACTTAGCACAATGTTTTCGAAGTTCATCCATGTCATATCAGGTATCAGCACTTCATTCCTTTTTATGTCTGAAAAATATTCCATTGCAAGGATCTACCACTTTTGTTTATCCATTCATCAGTTGATGGACATTTGTGTTGTTTCCACTTACTGGCTATTATGATCAATGGTGCTACAAACATGGGTGTGTAAGTTTTTGTGTAGACATGTGTTTTCATTCTCTGGGCTACGTAACTAGAAGTGAAACTGCTGGGTCACATGTTAATGCAATGTTTGAGGAACTGCCTCATTGTTTTTCAAAGAAGCTGAACCATTTTATGATCCCACCAGCAACTGCTATCAGAGTTCCAATTTTTCCACATCCTTGCTAATACTGGTTATTGTCTTTGATTTTAGTCATTTAAGTAGGTGTGAAGCATTATCTCATTGTGGTTTGAATTTGCATTTGCCTAATGATTAATAATGGTGATAGTGTCTTTTCTTATACTTATTAGCCATTTGTAGATCTTCTTTGGAGAAACATCTATTTAAATCCTTTACCCATTCTTAAAATGATTTATCCTTTTATTGTTAAATTATAAGAGCCCTTTATTATGCTACCGTCTGTTTCTATAAATAAAATTTTATTTGAACATAGCCACATTCATTCATTTACTTACTGTCTGCAAAGCCTAAACTATTTACCATCTGACTCTTTACAAAAAAGTTTGTCAACCTTTGATCTAAATGATGAGTTACTGGGAAAAAACTAGATAAATATACTGGAAAAACAGAATAGCCAGTCCTGAAACAAATCCATGTACTTATGAGAAATTCAATTGTTGATAAAGGTTGTATTTCAAATCAGTGGGGAGAAATACAGGCTAATTTGTTAATAGTATTATAATAATTTACTAACCATTAAAAAGAATAAAACTAGAATCCTACGTCATGTCATCCACAAGTTGTTTTTTTTTTTTAAACCTAAAACCAAAAACTCCTTTAGAATAAAACAGAGAACATTGTTAGAAGGTTGGGGTAGGGAAGACTTTTTCCCTCTGACATAAAAATTAAATACTCTGTTACTATAAAAGGTACATTAATCAAGTTACAAGAAAATAGTTGTGTCATATATAATAGACCCATGAATAAGATAAAAGGCGTTCCTACAAATCATTTTTTGAAAGTGGCAATGGGTATGAATGGGCAAGTTGCAAAAAAAAAAAAAAAAGTCAATGCTCACACTCAGAAGAAATTGAAGAAATGCAAATGAAAACAAGCTATCAAACTTTCACCCATCATATAGAAACAAAGATAAAACAGATAATATTAAACACTGTAAAGATTCATAAAAACATACTCTTGAAACACAGTCAAGGGTAAATGTGGCTTCTGGTGTCTCCGACACCACAGTGCCTGTTCTAGATTCTATGACAGGCATACAAAGAGGCATTTACCAAAAATGTTTGTTGGAACAACGTTTGTAGTAACAACCAACCATAAACGATATGAATGCCCATCAAAAGGAGCTTGATTCAATACATAACAGCAAATTCATACTATGAAATATTTGCTTCTGTTAAGAAGAATGAAGAAAATATATATTCACTTCAAGAGCTCTCCAAATACACTTTGTTAAGGGAAATAAAAATCAATTCATAGAATGGAATTTATTATTGTAATAATTATAATGATTATTTCAATGATTCACTTAAGAAAGTTGTGACATTAATATTTAGCAATGATATTTATGAATTGTGGGTATCTGAAAAAATCCACTCTTAGAAAAAATGCTTTTAGTACTAAAATTCATGAGTTTTACAAACAGCATATGCACATATATGTACATAGTGATGAAGAAATGGCTGAAATGGTACACGCCAAACTCTTGACAGTAATCTCTGGGTAGGGAAATAAAATCTGGATGAGGGTGCTGGGGACTTTCATAATTTGCTCCTCCTATTTATAATTCCATCTTTATAATGAGTATGTACTTATATGTTAGTCGTATGGTTAAAAAAATCAAAACCTTTTAGACTCGAGTATAATTTAAATTTATTTTGTGGCTGATTTTTCTTGTGTGTGTATGTTTGTTCTTAGAAGATATAGAAATCTTTTAAAGTCCTAGAAAATATTTTAAGTTTTATAAAAGCTATGCAAGAGGAATTAAATCTTACATGTCCTCCATTCTAAGACATTGATTTTAAGATATATTGTTAATTTAATAAAAGCTTTTCAGGGCAAAACAAGACTTTCAATCACAGTGAACATATAAAATGATTATGTAAGATGCATTTCAGCTTCACTAATGTTTTGGGATAAAATGACAATTATTATATGCATTACATTTTGCAGAAACTATAGAAGTGTAGGTAAGTAAGACTGCAATCTTGATTTTCCCCTTTGATGAATAAATATATGCTTGCGGATTATTGAAAATCAGACCCATCTGTCTCTGGCAGCAATATTTACAGAGCAAAAGACAATCAAGGGAAAACCCACTGTCCATAAAAATCTCCGCAAGAGTAAAGCATATTGCTCCTGAGTGATGCAAGATCTCACCTTATTTGGAAATGAAAATTTGCTGGATTCCACTTTGCCAGGTGCTTGAATAGCAGAAAGTGGTGGAAGCCAGGTCATCTCCTAAAGAAGGGGAACCAAACAACATTGTCATTCAGAGAGTATAGACAGTAACACATAAGCAGCTATACCAGCCTGCTTCTAAGGCACAGAAGGGGTACGGAAGGAACAAGAGATGAATAAGGAAAGAAAGGGATTTTTTTTTTGTTTTTTTTTTTTACAAAAAAGATGTGAGACTCATTTTTATTATTGTTTTTCCTAATTTTACCAATTCTTGGTTCTGTGGCTAACCCTACACCCTTGTTAAGTTCCCAACTGAAGGGATGACCCAGCACTAAAGGTTCTATGGAAAATACCTTGTGAAGATGGCTGCTTTTCTGGGATTTGATCCACAGAACTCACAGGGTGTTTTTGAAGGATCACATAAAGCACTTTTAACTTTAGGGATCATTATTAGAGGAGTTGTTTATTAGAAATTCATATTAGTATGAGGTTCCAATAAGCCCCACATATCACTTTGATCTTCACAAAAACATCATTCATGGAGGAATGAAAAACAAATCACACTTACGAAATGAGGAGAGTGTGTGTTGTGATTTTGATAACACCGGATTAAGAAGACAATGTTAGCTCAACATGCTAATCTGTCAGATGGTTTTTGACATACACTTTCACTAAACTGAGAGAGAGAGAGAGGCAGGGCTTATTTTAGTCACTTCCAGTATTCAGCCTCAGTTCCACATCCTGGAAGATATTTGCATTAACTAAATATAGTGAAATTAAATTGAATCGATTTCTGATTACCAGGAAACTGACAGTTTACAGATAGGTCCTGAGCCCTAATTCTTGATTTCCTTCCACTTCTAAACCTCAGCAAGCGTAGAAGCAGTAGTTGATCCATTTAAAGAAAAGTGAGAACTTCTTTTTAGGTGAAGACATTTTCTCGCCTTTCTTGGTTGGGGGTGGTTGTGTTGACAAGGACTCTGTCAGGTTGCTGAAGTGAAAGAGTTTCTTGAGGGTGGTCTGGTGCCTCCTTCCCCTGGGTAAGTCTTCTCCCCCAGCACCTGGGATTGTGCAGATGCAGACCCACCCAGGGAGCAGAGGGAGGGTGAGTTTGTTCAAACATTCCTTGGAAGGATTTACTGACACTCCATCATCTCTCACCAATCGTAACACATGGGCCATAGGTGGGTTAAGCACATATGCATCTGAGGTGTCCCTTCTCCATTCTGCTGGTACCAAGGTTTCTCCAATGGAAAGCAAAGGAAAGTCTGGTGACCCTACATGGCCCTCTTTTCCCTCTCCTTGTTCCCCAAATATCTGCCCCTTCCATCTTGTGTCTATTCCTCTGATATCTTGAGGAGGTTGTGTCCGGGAACATAGTGGACACCCAGTGCATTTCTGAATGAATGCCAGATCGAACACCCAGTGCATTTCTGAATGAATGCCAGTATCTGTGCAATGTCTCTACCTTTCTTTCTGGTTACCTGAACTACCATCCTGATCACACTTTCATTATTTTTAACCTGAATTACTTTAATAGCTTCCTGATTGGTTCTCTTCTGCTACAATTAATCCATCCTCCACACTCCTGCCAATTTTTAGTGCAGATCCCAACAAAAAGCTCCACTGCTTCAAAATCTTCACACACCATCATACACATAACGATGATGACACTGACAGCAACGATACCTCCTGTCGCACTTGAGAGTTTGAGTATTTCCACACGTTTTTTCACTCACATCCAACCTTTATAGTAATTATTACTACCTCCATATTGCACGTGAGGGAGTCATAAAGAAAAACCGATTTGCCTAAGTTCACTCAGTTCATAAAGGCCACCACTGAAATGTGCACACATATCTCCTCCCTCCCTGTCCAGTAATTGTTTTCAATCTACTGTATTTGCCCTAAAGACAAAGAGTATTCAAGACTTTCTACAACAAGGTTCCAGTTGTCAGCCTTGTGCCTTTTCATTAATGTGCACACATACTGCATATAAGAAAAAGCACAGTCTCTGCTTATACTTACACTATACCTTTTGTGTGTGAACGCCCTACCCCTATACGCCTTTTGTATTTCTATCCATCCATCAGGGCTCATCTCAAATGTCATTTATGTCTTGGGGCCCCTGTTCATTCCCCTTCTGTTCCAGTATGATATGATAGCTCCCTTTTCATGCTCTTCCAAAGTGCTTGCTTTTTCTCTCTCATTTTAACTCTTAGATTTTTTTTGTGTGTTTAGTTTTATAAGCATTTAACCTCAATCTGCACGCAACTATCTCTCCCTCTTCTGATACCCATGCCCCAATGTAGAATAAAAATCACACTAAGGAATCCTAATAATCTCTTTCAAGAGTATTCAGTTTTATGAAACATAATCCCCAAGTAGGAATCCTAATAATTTCTTTCAAGAATACTCAGATTTATTAAACATAATCCTTTAAAGAAGAACTGAACATTTCTCTGGAGGGACAGTGTCTACTCATCTGTATAGGCAAAGCACCTAAGTGTCCAAATCAACTTGCTGAACGGAACTCAATGAGAAAACCATATTTCAATGCAAAATTGCTCACTAACATTACCTTAATTCTAGCTAAGTATTTCCAAATGATTTTCTCATCTAATGAATCCTGCTATGTGTATGAAGGAATAATAAGGACAACAAGGTTGCTTAAAACATTTAAATCCATTAGAATTTCCAAGATATAAGAATTATTCATATGAATTAAATATATTTGTTTTTAATACATGTGCAATGACTTTTTAAGATTGATTATCCATTATATTAAAATTCTCCACTAGGGTTGCATGGGAAAATTAAGGACAAATAGACAACTTCTATTTTTGATTCTGTCACTTACTACCTCAATGAGCTTAGGTAAATCACATCTTCAGTAAGTCGTAGTGATTCAGAACAAAAACTTTAGAATCATTCAGACCTCAGCCTGTGGTATCTTAGAACCAAAGGAAACAGAGATGTTACCTATCCCATGGTTTAATCATGAGCATTAAATGAGATAATACACATAAATGGTCTAGTGCGGTCTCCTTATGTTTAATCATTAAATAAAAGACACACTGATTAATATCAAGCTGAGTCTCAGAATTCTTGTCTCTGAAATGAGAAATGCAATTTCTCTCTGAGATTTAGATGCTGGGAGTCTGAGGATGAAAGAATACAACATGGGAAACTGTTTTTATAGAAAAATGAAGTACTGTGCAAATGTAATCTGTAATTAAGCTAGTAACTATTAACACAAACTATGTATATCTATAACAGAAAACTATTTAAAGAGATTACTATGATTCCTAAGTACAATTGGTACTTTATATTAGAGAAAATGTCCGTAAGTTTTCTTATGGGAATAGATTACTGATACAATAATAGCAGTGAGATAAGATTTGATAAAAAGGTGTTTAATCTGTACCTTACTCTTCATAGTGTTTTAATATGTAAGCAAAGGTAAAAATTTTCATAATTGCTAGAAGTTCATTTTGTTTACCCCACTTCATAGGGAAAAAAAGTTATTTTGTGGGAAGGCCACCAACCCCATGCCTCTGCGTGTACTGTTCTCACCCTGCGAAGCCCCTGACCCCCTGCCTCTACCATTTCTTCATCACGCTTGCTCCTACTGCCCCCACCTGCTGTCCTTTAATCACCTCCTGGAACACAGGTAAGACAGGAAGAGAAATATAACATTCAAAGCCAATTACTCCAAAGTCTAGGCAGCTAGCTACCTGCTGGCATTTTAAACGCCTCTGACACTTCTTTGATCTGTCTTGTCTGCCTTCTTTCCGTTTTGATTCTCTTGTCACTTAGGAGTGATGCCATACCCTATCCCCTAGCACCGAGAGGTCGTCAGTTTTAAGCTTAGCCTCCTTAGCCAACTGATGGGATTATGAAACAACATATCTGTTTTAACACAGCCTTACCAGGCCCATCTTCCTAAGCAGATATTTTGTTACTCAAGGGACGTGTTCCAAGGTGTCTTATTTCTTAGATAGGTGTAAAATGCCAAGTTTCTTATAGCAAGTACACTCCTTTTTCTCCTAAATGAAAGAACAGATGGTTGAATAATGCCTTTCAGTAACTGTTCAAATTGTCTTCATCCCGCAGATACAGATTTTCAGAAGTCCAGTGGCACGTGTACAGCTTCCATTTTCATGTCTGTTGTACAGCAAGACCGACCAGGAGTCCCGAGAATCCACGGCTTCGCGGTGAGTGGACACAACTTTCCTTTCCCTCCTTTCCCTTGGAGCTACTCATTTACTCTGATGTCATCTGCATCTACCTGTCTTAGGACAAATGGCTGGAGGCTTAGGGCATCGTAGCTCTTTGTTATTTAAGAGAAGAAACAAAATTGAATTTTAGCCTGAAATTGAATCTTAGATTCAAAATACAGAGTTATGAAGATCTGCAAAGTGTAGTAAGTTTGCAAACAGATTAAACCAGAAAAAAATGTAAATATTGTTTTAATTTTCATATTATAGTCAGTGACTAGAAAAGCCCTTTCTCTGGTCCACCCCCCACTCCCCAACCTCTGCTTCCCCTCAGTAATCTGCCCTGGTCGCGGCCACAAAAGCATTCCATCTAAAATTGTCACTAAACTGCGCTTGCTGAAAAGCTTCTAGGGACTCTGCTCCAAATGTTCTAAGATGCTCTACCACATGATGTCATCAAGGGATGCTGCAGTGTTACTGCCTGTTCCCCTCCATTCTCTGTTACACATGATTTGTGTCACTTAATATTTACGTGCTACCTGGGGCCATGAGTTTTCCTTCTATACACTGCCACTATCAGATCGGAAGCTTTTTAAGCCCTACTAGATTATAACTTCTTTGAGAGAAGGGGTTCTGTTTTACAAAGCTCTTGTATATCTCCAAATGCCTAGCACAACGGGTGCAATAATAGGATTTCATTTAATCTCTCTGGGTTCTCTTTTTTCACCTGTAAAATGATGGCAATGGTGAATCACTCTTGTTCTACCAAACACACATAGCAGCTGCTACGATCGAGAGAGATCAAATTACTTCCTTCTCCTTCAGCAAAGTCTCAACATG